TTGTACATTCGCCCTCATTTAGAAAAAAATTCGCTTGTGATGTCCCCGTACTTGAAAAAAGACGTAGACATCCTAGAAAGAGTACAGAGAAGAGCTACAAAGAAAGTGATTGGGTTACGGCACAAACCGTACCCAGACCGCTTAGTTGCTCTTAAGCCGCACCCAGTACAACACCGGAGGATCAGAGGGATATGGTCATGATGTGCCACACTGCCCATAATCCCCCCTATCCTGACAGATCCCTTCTAAGATTTAGTCGGAAACGCGACCTGAGGGGCGACCCGTTAGGAATAGAGCATGAGAGAGCATATACAGAGATCCGTGCCAACTCATTTGCAGTTAGAGTCTGCAAACTGTGGAATTCCCTCCCTCCAGCAGTTGTTACAGCTCCATCTCCTGATACTTCTAAAAGGAGGCCAGACGAGTCCCACGGTACCAGTGGGCTGTGCTCGAGAAGCTGTCCCCAGATCAGAGGCAGTAATACTACCCTGAGACCGGATTAGTTAATGATCTTACCTCTATCCTTTCATATTTTTCGGGACCGGGAAGATAATTGTGACCATTCCAAACTCAGAACTTATTCCAATAAGACAGACGTAGAACCCAAGGAACCATAGTTCACTAATTCAACAACGCGAAATTTGAAGTTTGAAGAGGCACTAGATAGGAATGTGAGTTGTAGCGTTACAACGATAGCTTGTAGATCTTATATCTAAATAGATCACCATCTTATTGTTGACGTCGCCAAAATAGGTTGCCTGCATCGCGCAAAATCAGCTGGAAAATTTGGAGGCTTATCACACATCTCGGCGAGGTGGTCCCTTTATGCAAAGGGGTATTCGAAAAATGAGTGGAGGTATGCGGCGGCTCGGTTAAAGTATTGACACACTTCTGTTCTAACAACCGCTGACTTTGTGAGGACTTTTTGCATCGCTGAAGTGAGAAAATTTAGGAGTCTTGAGTGCACTGAGGTATACTTGATATGTCCTTACCTTTTATTCTCATCTCCAGTGACATCTCGAAGAGTCTAGGATTAGGGGTACGCAGTTGCTGAACGGCTCGACCACGCCCTACCTGGTTGGTACTAGACAGCAGATAGACAGCTTCAAGTCGTTCAGAGTGACAAGCAGACGAGAATATTCAAGCCCCTCAAGTTTTGCAGAAGTAACAGTCATCGAAAACTAAACCCTAGTCTTTGTATCCAGAAAGGTACAGTTTTCATCCTTGCGTGGTCTTAGAAATCAGTTTGCAATGAAATGCACACTAACCCTTTTTAAGTTATTCTACACGGCACAGTTAAAGTCGTCCTCAAGCTTCCACTTCCACGTGATTTCTGCCAGCCTTGGTCATACAGCTTTTGCAAAGTTAAAAAGTTTGTGAAGTTACGCAGTCTGCGATAATCATTACCCTTCCACTTCCTGACCAGCTGCTTCTAGAACAATCAGTCAACAATCCCATAAAAGTTGGTCTTCCTGTCACGTTCCTAGAGATCTCCTCTGCTTTAAGTATACGTTATTCATTATCTATGTCACTGGCTGATTCTGTCAATAATTTCTTGTCGAATTGGGAAGGCTGATACAATTACATTTATGTACAAATTTCTGCTTTAGTTAGCTTGTAATCAGCCAAGAAGAATACCAAAAACGATCAGTTTCAGCTGGTGTTATCCTGACACGCTTTTGCACTGTTCAAGTTTTCCTTCTGATGGAGAGTCACAATTCGACCTATTTTAATTTGATAACATTGTGACAGAGTGTCCTCGTGATTGCACTCCGTTACTTATTCACGTGTAAGAGATTTTATGGCAACAAAACAGAAATTGTTCATGAGACGCACGCCAGACTTACTAGTGCATGGTTTGTAGAGGATTTTTCATGAAATCCAGGTCGTAACTGCTTGAATAAGCCCTGTCCATTCAGAAAAAGACTTGAGTTCAATAAAATCGGTGATTCATGAAATTTTTTTATCTAGAATTAAATCAATGTGTGTTTTACATTACGGAAATCGATTGTGCAAATTTATCATTACATTCATGAGAAACTGTAAGAGAATTATGGTCGACAGTAGCAAGATGGGTGTTATTAGGAAGAGTAATAATGATGGTGAAAATACTGTCTAAAGAGAATTGAAAATTCAGAATGTTAACAACTTTTTATTTACGTAGAGACGGCTGGAGTAATGTAAGTGTAGTCGAAGGCGGCACCTTTATTGATCCACAGTCAACATGTACGTTGATCTTGTGAATCTACCAGTGAGATTTTGATGTTTCTAAAGATGGTCCTTGAGTTTTTTGTTGAGTCCTTCACTGAGGCTCTGATGAATTCCGGTTGCTCATTTTGAAGTTTTCTGAGTTCCCAAAACTAGGAATAATCGTAGAATCCTTGTGAAAACCTGAAAGGTATTATGAACTCACAGTACAACGGTTACCTTTCCCTCACACTCGGTAAAAAACCTTCATTGGAGACCTCAGACCGTTGTAACGATAGTTTCACTGCGGCCACAGCTTAGACCCCCTTGTCAAGGGCCTTAAATAGGTGCACGCGAATATTATCTACAAGACGATTTGTCTTCAGTGTGTTTGGTTCAGCTGTTATATGCCATTAGAAGATTGATGTTACATGACCTATTCGGTCCCAACTCGCGTTGCAGGGCACAACACTGAATTCTGCTGAAAATGAGCGAGGAGCTAATAATTTATGACTCACTTCACGGGCTTGGTGAGAGACAAGAATAAGTGGATCGGCGTGCGCTTTGAGCTGGTGTTCAGGTGCCTTTCTTGGTCAAACAGCAACCTCTGGTCGAAACAGGAGGGCTGAACATTTGGTTTTTAGTTATCGCCATTCATCTTACGTAATCAGTAAATTCACACAGCATCACATCCGGGTAGAGAGGTGGCGGGCACTCGTGGCGCTGTACCTAAAAGTCATTTACTTGAATTCCGAGAAGAAGTCAAAAAGCGGGACGTTATAAGGATGTTTAAAATATGGCCCCGAATGCTGTATTTCGTCTACCGTTGTATTGTTATTTCCGCCTAAGTTTTGTCATTAAAATTTTCTTAGTGAGGTCGTTGGCTGTTTAGGAATAGTCCTGGTGCGAGCTTGACAGACGCAGAGGCCGATCAGTTATTATTCGAACTTGTTACGTGCCCAAGAATAGAGAGCGAGAAAGGACACAACAGCGTAGTCGGATGGAATAGCATATTCATGAGGTCAGGCTGATATACCGATGCCTTCCAGCTAACTGTCTAAAGGGTTGATTACTAGCAGCTCAACGTAACACGACAGCGTGCCAAATGGCTGGAATGCTTGGCCGGATGCCTTCAGCATAGTGAGTTCAGTTAACCTATGAGGGTCAATATCAATGTCGAATTTCCTCAACCCCAGGTTACTGATTTTGGAGAAGTGGGTGAGGCTGCAACTGCCTTCTCTGAATCCGGTTATTCGACATGAATAATTCGGTGGAAATATCTTATTTTTTCCAAAAATGAATCCTCATAGTTTGAGTGCTACGGATTGATTAACTTCTAGATGTTGGTAGTGATGTGCTGTGGTACAGTGCCAGTTCCTCATATATATGTGATGCACGTTTTTGGCACTGAAATACACCTAGTTTCGAAACGGGGAAATAAAAATTTAATGTACCTGAATGATGGTGAGATGATCTACCACGCCTCTGACAAGCACTTTTGATCTTATGAGTCTTATTTGGTGCGCATGCCTTCGTGTCATCTGTGGATTGGCGTTTTGCATGTACACTGTACCGTCTTTGCACACATGCAACCCACTGGTGTACTACTCAGATGCATTCATCTAACGCAGTGCACCAACCTTAGGTGCACTCATTATCTCTAGATCCTGTTACCGGTTCGTCACTCATCTCATCACACTGCATTCGACCGCCTGCCCGACAAATTGAGCTGTGTAAGCCCTGCACGTGTGAAATGAGCCCAATTTTCGCTCTTACCAGGTGTCTGGGACTGGGCGGTACTTGATATGATAACTGGGCTCCAGCTCATGCAATTGTTTTCCAGGCTGTGCTACGCTGTTTAACGGTCGTCAACAAAGGACAGGGATACACCCGTTATTCCACTACCATTTGGATCTACTTTGCACTCGGAGTCCTTAATCAAACCATATTAAGCTGGAAAAGTCATATGTTTTTCCAAGATGACCTTTTAATTCAGACTTGTAGCGTCACACACTTCCCCAAAATCAATAGCCTAGGGTTTGACGACTTTCGACACTGATGCTGACCTTGATAGTTTAACTAGGCTCGCTAAGCTGAAGGCATCCGGTCAAGCATCCTCGCCATTTGGCACGCTGCCGTGTTACGTTGCATTGCCCGTACTCGACTCTCTAGCCAGTTAGTTGGAACGCATCGGTATTTTAGCACAACTATCCAAATATACTATTCCATCCGACTACGCTATCGTGTTCTTCCTTGGTCTCGTATTCGTGGGTACATAACAAGTCCGAATAATTAGTGATTGGCCTTTGCGTCTGTCAAGTTCGCAGCAGGACAAATCCTAAAGACTAATAAATATTCTGCCATTCTGAGCGTTTCCACCAAAGTTCCTCCTTATTTGCTCCTTTTTGTCAGTGCTGGGACGTAGGTAAGGTGCTGATAATTTTGGTACTCGTATGACGATGATTTGCGTCTTAAGTTAGTCAACAGTAATACAACCAGTCACATATAGATGTTGCGAGTCACTATTCACACTGGCAAATATGCTGCGAGGCAATGCAAAAGAAATGGAAACTTAGGATAGAAGAGCAATAAAAATACATGTGATAAAGAAATTACAGAAATAGTGTAGCTACGAGAAGCTTCTCGCTTACTTTTTATTCGCTCTGTCTTTTGCTAGTACACCGCTTTTGATTTCCAGTCTGAGGGGCAAATAGACAGACACTGGATTTTAAGAGGTGATAAAACAACCACTGGTTTCACAAGTAACTGAACCCAAATGTTTTTCGCGTTCGCCAAAGGAGAAATTGGTGGTTGAATGACCTTGTGGCGCGTATTAACTGTTGGTTTTACTTCATGACGTCGTAATTTTTGTATTTATTGCATGTATTCTGTTTGTGCTGTTGATCTTATTTGTGCTTTTTTAACGCATGGAGCTTCAGTGAAGGAAAAGATGAGTATGACGTGCAGGCGCTGGAGGACTTGTTAGGTTTCAATCGATTGGTATGAGGGAAATATCAACTAATCTCATATGAATCGCATTCTCAGACTATAAAATTATTCATGAAGGAGTGAAGTATGCTCTATTATTATACGAAAAATGTCTTCTGTTCGAATGTTTATGGTTTGTTGGATGCGGACAATTTCCCATGGCTAATATGAAATGTGGAAGTTGCATCCAACCAACATTGCTTATAGCCAGTCAAGTGAGGCTTGACAGCATATTCGACATTAGGCTTTAACCGTGGTGGTTATATTGTTTCCTCACCATTTTTGGATTTCTTGTTACAGATGCCTACCTAGATAGACACAATATAATTGCGCATAGTGTAAATGCAAAGAATATTGATTATAGACTTACTTGGCCTAGTTACTGTAAGCAATTGATAAGATTTTGCGAATTGTTCCAAGTGTGGCGAAAAGTGGAGCTCATCTCTGAAAATTAGTAATAGTGTTGAATGTTTATACATGACAGTCTCACATATTGGTTGTCGTTCACTGCTAGATTAAGGTGGACAATAGCGTTAAGGGTTAGAGCACTGTACAAGCAACACATAGACGCCACTCATAGCTTTTATCCCACTAAAAAGCATACATATATTGGATTAATTGACAGACTAGCATGTTCATGAAATGACTTCTTCATGACAACCCTGCTATTTAACTTACCTTTTTCATGTGTAGTATATTGTTTTTAACGTTCCCTTAACCTGGTCGATTTTTCACGGTGGCTTAGCAAGTTGTTGGTTTAGTTTGTTGTCCTTTGTCTTCGCCTCATGGTTCTGGTTGTTGTAAAGGCTGACATAAAAGCGTTTTTAACAGAACCTTAAGTTTGCAGAATATTGTGCCAATTTTTCATACATCATACTCGAAGTCTCACAAGACTATTCAAATGATTATTTGGGATCTTGGTTGAATCTAGTCTTCACCTACTAAACTGGCAAATCATTATCGGTTTTCTGTCATTCTCTTTCATCTTGCTGCTCCAAACTGAAGATGGAGCGACTTTTGAACCCAGGGTCTAATACTTGAGACAGACAGATAAATCACCGTAAGATCTTGCTCAAGCGCATTGATTCAAGTTGCTACACTTCACAGCCGTATACAGGGAAGAATTGTACGAAAAAGTGAAATTAGATAAATGTGCATGACGAAAGGACGAAGGGTCGCGTATACTGCACAGCAGTCCGGTCTGTTCTACTGTATGGCTGTGAAACATGGCCATTAAAGGTGGAAGACATGAGAAAGCTTCAGGTATAGGCCGTATTCCGTAGTGTCACCACGTGAGTAACACAGAAGGCAGGAGTAGTGTTTTAGGGAGAAGAGGCAAGTCGGTTGACGAAGTTGTGAACCTCTATCCACTGAGATGGTTGGGACACGTGTTACGTATGCCTAGTCACCGATTACCTCGTCACACAATGTTGGCTGAAGTAGGTCCAGGCTGGAAAAAGGCCCGAGGTAACCAATGTATGAAGTCTCTGACTGTTGGTTTGAGGCATGTGGGGGGGATGCAGACTAGGTGGTTGGGGTCCGCGGGACAAGAGAAACTAGTGGTTGAAGACCCTAGATGATCACATGGCTGAAAACCGATATCAGTGGCACAGATGTATACATACGTTATCGTCATCCTAACGACGCTATACCGAATCTCACCACTTTCTCATTCTTCGCTTCTCTCTTTTCGTACTTTATATTTCTTTTGACTGCATTCTCTTATCTTCATCTTGCGCCTCACTGTCTTTTTACTTGATTTACTGATATGAGGTGTGGCAATTCGGACCGTTACTCAGTAATGCCTAGGTTGATCTGGATGAATGGATGGATGGTGAACAAGATGTTTAAAACTTCGAAGGTGACACCGTGTATACATCTTGGCAATTTTCACCCAATTATCAGTCATATCACCAAAAGTCTCCAATCATTGATTCCTGTTATCTCGGAGACCTCAGCCAGGTATTCTACACTCCGTACACGACTCAGACGAGCAGTTAGATACTTAATGCACCAGTGAAACTTCCTGATCTGGTTACCCAGTCCAGCATCGATTGACTCCGCATGTTGAGGTAAATGATGCATCAGCATGCGCAACACATGTCTTACCCCTCACAAACGTTAAAGACTCACAACCTCATCGATTGACTTGTCTTGTTTAATGCTCTACGCCAAACCTCAACATTGTTCACAGTGATTCAACTGCATGCGGGCAATGCTGCGAAATATGTTGTCGAAAAACTGTTGTCTTTTCATATCTAATTTCAGGGGCCATCTTAACTGCACGATAAGACAAAGCGGACTGCAGGGCAGTGGACGGAACGTTTGAAGTAAAGTTGGGCATAACATCGGCACCAGCAGTGGCAAACAGGCCTTTACGATTCAAACTTTCATTTCGTAATGGCCAATGCACTGATTCATCTTGCCAAGTGAATGGTATGGTCAACGCCTTCCACCTCTTATCCTTAAATTAGGAGTCAGTACAAAGCAGTTTTGAAACATCTTACATTCAACAGACGCAAAACGTATCTCAGACATACTCAGATTTTTACTCGAGGTCTTTATAAATTGGATTTTCTCACCGTTTTCGTCTTACAGGACAGTATCATCTGTGTAGTTCAGTTCAACCAGGTAACCTACCGGGACTAGGTCAATCCCTGTTAAGTTCGAGGCACGTGGCGTTATATCCATTAGCACTTTCGTAGCGAAATTAAGCAGGTATAATGACTAAGAATCCTTAGTGGATACTACTGTTTGTCATTACTTCGAACAATAACTCCCTATATATTATGAAGTTGTGGCTCATTAGCTTAGGCAGCTGAGTCAGTGGTTCGAACACCGCTCCATCTACCGAGGTTCGGGAAGCCAGTTCGTATCGTCAGCCCTCACACTGTGTGACTCATTGCCTAATACAGTAAGTTGGCGTTGTTCAGAAGCGACCGATTGTCAGAACAAAACTAGAAGAGATGGTAACCGTTGTCAGTTTGTTAGCATAGGATACCGTAAATGCTTCCGAGATTTCTTCCCGACTGGTTTAGATCCCAACTCCGCGGTGAAGAGTCACCTACTGGTATGAATGTATTTGGAAGGTTTGCTTTATGTAGCGAAGGTGACAGGTTTTGGTGGAAAGTCTATGAGTCATATTACTGTAAGGACCAAGAATTCTTAAGGGTAGTTACTGATCAGTGTGAGTTACTAGCTGGTGTGTTAAAACTTGGAAAGGTCTTAAGGCGGATCGACATCATTTGACTAAAATTGTATCTGAGATCCTAGGGTCCATAGTTATCCGACATGTAGCTGGGGCTCGAAAACACCAAACTCGAGAAAACCTGGGAGGTTTCAAACGGAACTGAGCGGGGGTGTATCAAACATATTTTCATCCTCCGGCAGGTTCTGGGACACAGGCATACTTACCAGCCAGTGGCCGACACTTGTTATGTTTGTTAACGTGAAGGTGGCATTTGACTCAGTCGACCGTGATGTGTTGTGGCGATGTTTAATTGTGAAAGGTGTATCAAGCAAGCATATAATGCCTATCAAATCTCTCTACTCAAACTCACGTAGTCTTTTAAGGGTTTATGCAGAGTTGTCATGTGAACTGACGATAACTACTGGTGTCTGTTAGTGATGTCCACTGTCAGCGTTCACATTTAACTTCGTTATAGATGCACGAATGAACATAACTTTAGATACATCTGACTTCATAGGGATTGATCTATTCCCTGGGACCGTCTAGTTGATTCGGAGTATGTAGGCAGTATTGTTCTGCTAGGTGAGAAAGCTGACGCGATGCAGGGTGTTCTAAACACGTTGAGCAGAGATCTAGGTATATTTGGCATATGGTCTCACTGTCATCTGTCAAGTGTAAGATGATGCTCCACAACTGGTCTGCAAAGATGGCCAGCTTAATGATAGGGAGTGAATTAGTGGAATATGTGGACCACTCCACTTACATGGGGAGTTGTATGAGCCCGGACGGGTTTGTTGCTGATGAAATCACAGCTCGGATATAGAAGGCCCGTTTGACATTTGGAAACGCGCTTCATGTGTGGCGCCGATTAGCGAGATATCCGACTATCCATCAAAGGACGAGTATATTGGGCTGCAATTCACTGTTCTGCTATACTGCCATGAAACATGACTGTTGAAAGTAGATATGAATCGGTTACAGGGTTTTGATGATAGATGTCTTGGTAGCTTTGCCTGCGCTTGGTGTAATCACCGTATGGGCAGTGTTGAGGTCAAGCGAAAGGCACTAGGCAAGACAGACAAGTCGATTAACGAGATTGTAAACCTTAGTCAACTGAGATGACTTGGAGATGTATTGTGCATGCCGAGTCACTACTTGCCTCGATGTGCCATGGTAGAGAAGCTGGATTAGATTGGAAGAGGGATCAAGGAGACCAAGACGTGGCACCAGTCGTGAAGTCTCTTACTGTTGGGCCAAGCCATGTTGGGAAATATAGACCACCTGGTTCGGGTCCCTGTGGCTGAAGCAATCAGTGGTTGAAGTTTCTTCGTGACGTGACTGAAAATCGGTCACAGTAACGCAGATGTTTTAACTGTTTGATGTCTTCTAAAGCTTGAATGTTTCCACTAACTGTTATCTTCAAGTTGTATATTATCTCACACAACTTTGTCTACTTTGATATCACTCTTATGTTACCCAACTGTTCTTTGTGTGCTACTTTGAAGTCTAGTAAGTTGAACGGATACACTTGTATGCGACGTTCTACGGTGATTCTATCTTTCTGCGTGTCTTGTCTTTGGAAAAATGAGGACATGTGATTGGAAACTCCTTGCGATATGTTTGGAGATCGGTTATCCGCTTTATCCTTTGTCATTCTGTCTTCTTATGGTTTTAGATTATACTGTTTCCATTCCCTTGTTTTTTGTGTGACAACCCGATCTGTTAAACAGTAGTATCAAGTCGGGTTGCTGAAATCAAGTTGTTATGGCTTAGATGTATACACTTTTTGTCATTGAAATTTTAAACATTTATGCCAACCTAACATTATCCCTCTTACAACTAGGTGTGGGTTATTGTCTACTGCACCAAGGTGCATGCGGTTGCAGATTTCCTAGTCAGGGGGTCCAAACTATTTCTAAGTTATGAATTATTTAAAAATCTATTTTAGTTTTATTTTCATGTCTCGCCTCTTAGTTTGCGTTTCCACTGGGAATCTCCACAAAAATACCTTCAGTACAGTACAGTTGAATCAGGAAAAAGCTGAGCGATATACTGTGGTAGTCTTATCTACATCCTAAAGTCTAAGCGGCTGAAATTAGGAAATACATGTAAAATATGACGATGCCAGTTAGTTTGGTTGCGCAAAGTAAGAAACATCCGGTTAAGTGTTGTCGGATTCTTATGTCTGTAGTGAATAAAGCATTCGGATATTATGTTTTCTGTCCGGATAGGATCTCTAATTCAGGATATTCGAGGAATCCAAACAGCATAGCTAGCTCTCAAATAATCGATGGGAATCAGGCTTTTACTGGAGGTTGTTTGAAGTTGTTGTGTAATTGCTTACTATATAAAATTACTGATCTCTAACATTTTACAGACGCCAATCAAGTACAGATATCCCAGTTTTTAAACACCACTTTGGATTTGAAGCAATGTATGTAACGTACTCAGCCACCTTGTACACAATCATGCTGTAAGCAATGAGTCACACATATTGTGTGAAGGCTAGTGGTACTGTAGTGGGGGTTGCTGATCAGAATGGATATAAGTAGTATATGTTGAGAGGGCAGCAGAAATCATAGGGAATTATCAGCAATGGGTAAGGATTCTGCTCAGAGAAAAGCAAGAGACAACGCGGGCATATGAAGAGCGAATCAAAAGAGAAGCTGGAGAGGAAATAAAGCACATTTTGCAAATGACTGTCTTAGTGCAGGGTGTACCATATTTAATGACTACTTTATCACATAATAATACGCATCCCTACGTCTAAGTCTTCTCGTTTCCTTCACTAATACCTGGCTGTCCAAACCTTTCGGTAGGTGGAGCGGGGCTTAAACCTGTGACCCAATGGTCGGTAGTTATCTGAGGGGCAGCACACTTAGTCCGGATATTGGTGCCTACTACCCATAAACAGTATGCGTGACTGTGAAAGATCAAAAACTTGTCATCATACTCTTATAAAACGTCATATCATTGGGTTATTAAACATAGTAGTGGGAATTTGTTCGCCTTTTTTGCAAGTTTCTACGTTGATCTGTCTACTCAATAGTAAGAAATAGTTCAGTATGGTTTCTTACCTGTCAGTATATATTTCTTTTATTGAATACATACTTCGAAGTAATTTAATGGATCTCTGTTTGATGTTTCTTCTGTGTTTTTTTTGACTTCAGATGGTAACAAGTCAAGTGAATTATTAAACTTAAATCTACTACTTTAACACAAATTCATCTATAAGTTGGGACAAACATATTGACAGTTTATTTCGTTCTTCCTAATGGTGATATTAATCTGTTTCCCCAAGACTCTGACTTGGTTTTCAAGACGTACATTTTCAACTTCAGGAATAAATTATTCACCTCGTAATGCTTTCTCGGATTACGCTTACAAAAAACGTACACTTCTTAACTATACCGTGTCTTTTGGAATATTCATGGCTGGAGTCGGATATGGCACTGTACCACTATATCGTATATATTGCAGTGTAAGTTAATAATGTTGTACTAGTTAACTGTAATAGAGTTTTGAAAAACATTTTTACTACAATTAGAACCTGTTTTTACACAAAAAGCTACATTTAAGGATTGAAAAGTTTGTTACCAATATATATTTATCACAGGTTGTCATTTAATTGGGTTTAAACTTTTCTTAAGCTTTAAGACACAACCTTAAAAGGTTAGTGTATCTATGTATGCCTATGAACAAAGGGGGTCAAGTAGAAAGCTAATGTCAATATAGGACCTGGGATTACTGGCTAACCGTCCAAGTTGCCACATCTTATATGAGCACATGCAGTAATAATGCACTTAGATGGAAGATGAAAAAAAGATAAGGAGAAAAGCTGTCAAAAGTGGTAGGAAGTTATCGTGTGATAACAGGAAGGACATGATGGTAACAGAATTCGGTATGACGATGAAGATGAACATGATATGTGGACACATCTGGACTATTGAGTTAGTTTTTAAGCCATGTCAATTAGTCTCCAACCACCGATTTCAGCTATCTTGTGGACCCAAACCATGAAACTGACATTTCCCTACACGGCTTAGACCAACAGTCAGAATTCGTGGACTGATGCCATTTTTTAGTTTGTCCAGCCTGTAACCATTTTCTAGCCTGAACCTACATCAGCTAACATTGTGCGAAGGGGTAGGGGGCGATTAGGCGTGGGTAGAATGTGTCCTAGCCACGTTAGGCAATGAAGGTTCACAACCTCATCAACTGACATTCCTATACTGCGGAAAATTTCATATCTGAATTCTATACTACTGAAGTGATGGCCTTCGGCAGTCTATGCTGTGAAGGGGACAGGGTTCTAACACAACAGTTGAAGCCTTCTCGTGTTCTCTACCTTTAACGGCCACGTTTTACAACTATTTAGTAGAACAGAGTGGACTGCAACGCAGTTAGGTATCACGGTGGTGTCATAAATGGTGTAATTGGCGAAAGCCAATCGAGCCTTTTGTATCGGTGCATAGATTTTGTCGGTCGGTGGCGCACCAGAACTCACCGGACTCCCGAAGTAATTGAAGTCGTCAATGTGCTTAACCATTTCACTTTCTGTTGTGAGATATGGTAAATGAAAAGACGAATTATACAGTAGTAATTTGCATATACGTGGTGAGAAATGCATCCCAAACATCTTCAAATCGCCACTTAAGGTGTCTAATGGTCACTCAAGTTTTCCATCTATGAACGTATTCCGATGTCTTGGCATACTTGACAAGTGAGCAACAGGAAAACCGTAAATGAAGAAAGGTAATCGTTTGAAAACCGGGCCGAAGATTAGAGGTAGCGTAAAAGATTATTTTGAACGAGTTTCATTGACAGTGACAAGTGGTTTTTCTTAAGCATAAGTGATCATGAAATATGGTTATTAGTAAGAGAAGACAAAGTGATTAAAACTCGATTATTTGTATAATAATGATTGGATAGTAACCAGCAGTAGAATGAAGGATGCGCGTTTCGTCCTATTTGGGGCTCGTCAGCCGGATGTGCCTGTCTTCCAGTGAGAGACGTTTCTCTCACTAACACTTCAACCCGAAGGTCAATCTTTTGATGCTGAAACGTTATCCACTGGGCCACTAGGGTGCAGGTACATCCAGCTGGCTAGTCTCAAATAGGTTGGAACGTGAGTCCTTGATTCCACTGCTAGCCACCATCTATCATTAGTACCAAACTGGAATTACCGACAATGTCGAGGCATCTGCATCCATATGCCAATGGTGGCCGATTTATCTATTTCAATCGACGACAGGAGACTACAAGCGGCAACATCTGTGATTTTTATTACGAGTTAGGCTACTAACAGAAAGAACATGTTTGTTTATACAAAATAGGTCTTTATATGGTTGACCTGTCATTTTTTTGAGTCTATCTCTTAGTCTTACCTGTAATTGTAGCTCAACACAAGAACAGTTTAATAACACACAAACATTTGTGATTGGAAATGGGGACCCATGTAAACCATAAAGTTCTTATTGATATAATCATTGAGTAAGCAGATCACACTAGGTTTCAATTATTGATTAATTTCTACTAAATAGAAAACTGGATCTGGTACCAATTCAAGTTTTGCAATGGCTAAACGTGAAAAAATCAAAACAATGAAACCAGTTAGAGATCGTGATTTTATTGTTTATTTTTCTGCTGATACACATTCACTAATGAATTGGAAATTTAAACCGTCACAAACCGCGGTAAGTTCTGTAAAAAACATACGATAATAATAATAATAATCACTTTATTCGAGATATTTATGATATGATGTGGAATTTTCAGCGTGTAATAATCCAACAAGAATGTAATCCTTTACAATATTTCGAATAGTGTTAGTTGTAGGGATTTGGGTTTACTTGGTTCGAAGGTGGCAACGGAGTCCAAGACTCGTCTTTTGTCCTATTTGGAAGTCGTCAGCTAGATGTACTAGTGAATTCTATTGTTCCTACTGAGTCTCGAACTCAGGACCCGTCTTTTCAAACATGAAAGCGTTATCCTTTAGGCCAATGAAACACAACAGCCACCTCTTAGGCAACGGCTATCAGTTGTTATTTGTTACTTATAATAACCCAGTGGTATATACGGTCAGATTACTCGATCTCTATTGGTAGATGGATTCCTATGCGGATTCCTCTATACCAAGTGAATATTCGTGGTGTTGTAGTTGAGATTTACGTTATGTAAACAATATTTGTAACGAGAACTGTTATACATGAACGCTTAGAATATTAAAAAGACTGGTTATTTACTGTTAAAAAGTTGATAAATGAGCTCTGTTCTAACGCTGTTTTCCTCATCTAATACGGATGTCACATATTGCACGGCTGATACTTACATTTAGCTGTATAAGTGTAAAGTTTGATATAGTTGCTTCTTATCCTCCTTTAGGCGGTACAAAACGTGACCTATGAATAAAGTGGATGCTCAGTATCCAATAAAAATCACTGTAGTCAATTTCCCCTTTGAATTCGAATATCTGTCAACTACAGTGTTAATCAATTGAATCAGGGGCACCCTGCTTACCCTACTGACAGCTTTAAAAGCCGTACGCAGTTTGCTTTTTCAGCAGACCAGAAAAGATTGACGGAGAATAATATTGTGGGGTTAGTATGTGCAATGCGTGTCGTGTAATCGTCTTAATCGCTGACGATTCACAACTTGACTGACTTACCCTCTTTGTCTTGTACCTTTCGTCCAACCTCGACACCGCTCATATAGTGATTCCACCCTTTACAGATAATGCTACAAAAACAGTTATGATAATAAAACATGTAACCTCTTCAAATCTTCTACTTTCAGCAGTTTTACAATAATTTCTAATAGTTTTATGGAGTAATTTAGCATTTCTTTTAGGTGATATGCTATGATGCCTTTCATAGTTTTCATACCCCACTTTTTCTCCTACCTATTTCTTCTATATTTATATGTTCACCTCCTGTGGGTCACTTCTATGGCCGGTAGTACGAGCCTAGCAGATTATAAACGATATGAACTTAATGAACGAATCGACTCTGACGCAAATCAGAACATCAACTGCCACCACAACAATACCAACGACGCACGAAGACAAAAAGAGAAGACAGACCATTGGCAGATAGCTTTTTACTGTCTCAACAACAGAGAATACAATTGACTGTGATGTTGAATATATACCTTTCTAAATGAACTTGATAACACTAAATCCACATATAATTAACAACCAATGAGAGTTCAGCCTTGAGAGTAGAGGGAAGAAAAACTAGTAAGGGTGTGAAAACAGCCATATAGGTTATTTTAAGGTCATGGATAACATGCAAAAGTTATACGAAATTAGGGTTATATAGCGGTCATAATGAATTTGCAGTAGATTGCTTTATCAACTCAAAGAATACAAAAATGTTTAAAAAGGTTATTTTTATTGATGAATAGGTTACAAATGACAATTTGATTGTTCTACTCTGACCAATTACTAATTCCAGTGCATTTTCATTAGTTCTTCATTATCTATTTGATGTGGTATATTGTGCAGTAAAAGTGACAAAATCTTCTTACGAAGCCTAAAACCCCTGAAGCCTTTTACAACCAATCGTTTCATTTCCAAGTTTCGAGAGAAAGCACGTGAGCCAACGTGTAAATATCAGATTGGTTGAAGAGACACATGTCATCAGGATATTCAAATCCATAAAGGCCTAGAAATAGTCAAGACCATTGTAAATATACATAAACTTTTATATTTTGTATATATTTGTCGGTGTGGCAATACACCTGTTAACTCATCACCTTTTTCCATTCATTTGAAGGTTATTAACCAGAGTGACCTTAAAGCCCACTCTAGCACCTGCTGAAGTAGCCAATCAGCTCTTGGTATTTCGACTGGGAAGGTAATTTTTAAAATGAAGAAATGCGATTGGTTGTTTCAGCAGTAGCTAGGATGGCCCTTAAAGTCTCTCAAATAAATTAAAGTGTTGATATCAAGTCGTCGACAGTTTTTCCATAGACTTCTATCAATATTACCATTCACTCTATACTATGAAATATTCCAAAAATCCCAGTATTATTCAGTTATGATAAGTGTGAATAATTGCTTCTGTTCATATTCACACAATATCGAGTGATTCATACACGTGAATCACAAACTATCTAGTTGTTGTACCAGATTAAAATTTCTAGTCAACGCTTCTTGTTATGTATGTGTGCGTATGTGTTTGCCTGTTAATTGTCTATATCTCACATATTGCCTTCATTTTTCCTCACCTATAGTTGAGAGTTGTACCTGGTGAAACTGCACTGGCATTCTTCTCAGCTGAGAATCCAACTGATAAACCAATTGTCGGAATTGCCACCTATTCGATTGTTCCAATTGAAGCATCAAAGTATTTTCACAAAATACAAGTAAGTAAGTAAGTATTGGCTTAAGTATATCACTTCTGACTGACGTCTTTGCTGAGATCCATGTGGTAAGTGTAATAAATGGAGTTGGGAGATTCTTGGTGATGTGAATTTGCATTTTGATGCCATCAGCTGCGCAGATGTATCCATGCATCGTCTTTGTACTACTTGTTATATCACATTTCGTTATTCGATGTACCCTTTTCTTCTTCCTCCCCCTCTTTTTCTCCCTCCTCCTCTTCGACTTTTGTTTCCCTCTTATCTTGGTGTCTTGTATGTGAGGGCGGTTATATGAAGTGTGGTGACGTGAACAGTTACATAGTATTACCAGGTCTAGATTGATATCGACTGGCTAGGGGGAGAGAGAGAGAGGATATTGGTTCGCGTTTGAATTCCAAACAAAATACTCAGATTATTTTATAGTTACATTTTTTCCCAGCATAGTACAGACGTGTAATCACATTTTCCATCTTAGTTGACTTATTAAATAAGAAACAGTATTGTTTCAATTGACTTGATTGTGGCTAGCAGTAGAATCCAGGATCCATGCTTCATCCTAGTTGGGACTCGTCAACTGGATGTACCCGCAACTCAGTGAATGATGTTGTTCCCACTGAGATTTGAACCCAGTACCCATTACTTTAAACACCAACGCGTTATCCACTTGGCCACTGAGGTTCGAGTCTCAGAGGAACAATATCACTCACTAGGGTGTGGGTACATGTGTCTGACGAGTCCAAAACAGGACGAAACGCGCGTTCTGAATTCCACTAGTGGCCACAGTCAAGTCAATTGAAGCAATAAGTATTCAGGTAATATTGAGGCATTCGCATAGAAACTTCTTTGTGGAAAGAGGTTGGACAATTCGACCCAGTATAACAACGGAAAATTACAAGTATATCGACAAATAATAATGAGAAACAACCTTTTTTTTATTTTGTTAAACAGCTCTTTGGATATGATTGTTTGTCCATACTCATGTCAGAGTTTGCAGTGGATAATGAATTGTCCCTAAAAACTTGTCAAGAGAATAATGCCGTTTCATTGTGTACTGTATCATCAAATAAATGTCGAAAGAACTAACCTAGATTTGCAAAGGGTCAGTTGTAGTATGAACAGTGTAGCAGGAAAATTTTTCAACTTCTGTATTGAATAAAGCAGATTTGATTGGCCAGAAAGATACAACTTTCCTATAGGTTGTTGATATATCTTGATGATTAGCACCAAAACACATGAAGGCAGAATTGGTCAAGACTTTTTACTATCTGCCTTGAAGTATCTAACAGGAATTGTAGAGTACTCGTCGCTGTCATGTAGTACATAAACGTCTATGTGGTAACTGAGTCGAATTGTTTTTGAGATTACTATATATAGTGTGGTTTGTGAATAGTTGATTAACTTAAAAGTAGTAGTAGGTGTTAACTATCAGTTGTTGTCTAAGCACTGGACTTTCAACCAGTCAGTTACGGGTTCTAACTCTGCTCAATTTATATGACTTTAGACAATTAGATAATGTAACAACTTTAACACAATTAGTTTGACTTACTGACTGGTGCCTGATTGTGAATATATTTGAAAATCGTTGAAAATCAAAGAGGCAGAGAAAAAGGAGAGAACACTGAGTGGATGTTTTTTTGATGGTTTATGGTGCATCAACTGTGCACACCTTCGATCTCATATGGAATAGGTTCAGATATTGACACTCATGCCCACCCAATGACGTGTTGCCTTGATCTCTCCATCAACCATTCTTATTCCCGTTTATTCCATGAGGCCACCTACGTACACTTTTTCGGTGTTTTATATTTTCATATAAAACTGTAGAAAATTCATTATTCATTCGACATTGTGGTCGGCGCAAACGAGTTTGTTGTCAATCCCTTAGCTGTTGTGATGAGTAGTATAAGGTTACAATACTAACCCATCATATTCGATTGTTTTAATAGGCAATCAAAATTGAGTCGAAATATAGTCAACAACTATATACAATGAGTTCTGTCTATTGTATAAAGGCTAAGGATACTTACTATCTGGTTACCTAGACTTACGTAGATGGGACGGAGCTCGAGTCCGTGACCCATCAGTTTGTAGTCAAATGCCTAGACCAATGAATCCATTTCTTTACACAGTAGGCAATCACTCACTCACTACCTAGTCGTCACTATTAATATTGGTAAAATCGCTACATAATACAATAATGATCAGATCAAGTTTTCCTGATTGATGAATCATTTATACGGATAAAAGTAGAGAAATATCTAGCCTATGATTTAATTGAATATCATTGATAATGTTGATTATGAGTGAAGATTATTTTGATTCATTTACTCTTTATTTTTTAATATTTAGTGTTTTTGCTTCGAAGAACAACGTCTGAATCCACATGAAAAAGTGAGTTTGAACTGTTCAATATTTATTCTTGTTTACTTTTCATTTGAATTATTAAATGAATTATAAGGCAGAATGTGGTTTTCCTCAAGGTTACAGCTACTGACTGACATAGAACCTCGAATACAAGTGCATTGGCTGAAGTAACACTTTACAAAGAACAAGTGGATAGAAAAGGAGTGATACCAAAGTAGATAAAGTTGAAGACCAGGACTGGTCTTCAGCAGTACCGTGGCTAACAATAGAGAGTGAAGTGGTTGAGTGTGTTGACCACTTCACTTACCCGGGAAGTAGGATCAACCCCGGTGGGTTAGTTGCCGATGAGATTTCTGCATGGATACAAAAGGCTCGATTGGCTTTTGTCAATTTGCGCCACCTATGGCGCCGCCGTGATATCCATTTGCCTATTCAGGGTCGCGTGTACTACACAGCAGTCCTCTCTGTTCTACTGTATGGCTGTGAAACATGGCCATTGAAAGTGGAAGATATGAGAAGGCTTCAAGTGTTTGACCACCGTTGCCTTCGTAGTATAGGACGTATTCCGTGGTGTCACCACGTGAATAACGCAAACGTCATGTATAGAATTTTCAGGGAGAAGAGGTAAATCAGTTGACGAGGTTATGAACCTTCATTGACTGAGATGGTTGAAACACGTACTACGTATGCCTAGTCGCAATCTGCCTCGTCACACAATGTTGGCTGAGGTGGGTCCAGGCTGGAAAAAGGCTCGAGGTGGCCAGACTAAAACATGGTACCAATGTATGAAGTCTCTGACTGTTGGTTTAAGCCATATGGGATGATGCAGACTAGGTGGTTGGGGTTGGCGGGACAAGAGGAACCAGTGGTTGGAGACTGACTCTAGGTGACCACATGACTGAGAACCGATGTCAGTGGTGCAGATGTATGCATACATTATCCTCATGTTAACGACGCTATACCGAATCTCACCATTTTGTCACTCCTCTTTCCTTTCTTCTCGTACTTTATATTTCTTTTGACTGCATTCACTCATCTTCATCCTTCATCCTTCACCTCACTACCTTTCTACTTGATGTGTGATATGAGGTGTGGCAACTCGGACCGTTACGCAGTAATGCCTGGTCCTATGTTGATAATGATGATGAGATAAAGTTGTGGCTGAGAATAAACAATCTGAAGATCAAGAAAGTTTGATGTGTATATTTCAACTTTAGAAGACACCAAAGATAGAATATATCTGCACGATTACAACTAAGAGTCCTCAACTTCTGATTCCTTTTGTCTCTAGGACCCCAACCAGGCAGTCTATATCTCCCAATATGGTTCAGTCCAACAGTTAGGGACTTCGTGGATTGGTGCCAGGTCTTCATTTGGCCACTGTGAACCCTTTTCCAACCTAATCTACCTCTTCTTAGCATGACACGTTAAGGTAGGCGGTGACTCGGGATGAACACTACATGTCCAATCCATCAATCGACTTACCTGTCCTACCTAGAAATCTACAATCCTGACGTAGTGTGAGAGGACTCATAGTTCTGTAAAAAGATTTACATGTGGATTGGTGAAATTGTTTATTGGGAAATTTCACAGGCTCTTAGTTAAATATGAAAACGTACGAATAATCTAGACTCCAAATTCAGGATGAATTGGTTTTTAATTTCTGTTTCTCCCTTTCCTTATTCAGCACGTCTACTATGATTGGATGATAGGTCTACTTGCTTTTCTCATAGAAATCATATTGTACCCTACTCATATGTTCACGTTCGTATAGGTAGCGTATACCACACTCATCCTCCTCCATCAAAAAGTCATTTTTTTTGCATTCATTTTGATCTCCGCACGGTTATCTCCTCTTTCTGGACCTCTGTCTCAACTTTCTGATGCAACTAGACTCATTTATGAAGTTGGTTAGCATTCATGCGTTTCCGTTTATCTCATCTTCGGATTGTACGAACTTCGCTACAAACCTCAATGACAGTGTACTGTCGTTTCCACTCTAGGAGCAGTATTCCCGATTGTTACTCGACTCCGCCAGTATACTTTAGTTCTGTACACTTCATTTAGTCTCCAACTTCGAAATGTTTCCATTTCTTACTTTCTGCTTCCTTTAATCTCAAAGCGTTTGGTTTTAATCATCTTTCCCAACCTCGTCAAACATCGTCTTCCTTGCTAAGAAAAGGTATTATTGTATATTGGTAACTGCGGTTATCTGTCATTCATCAACTGGAAGGATGATTTCTTAGTTTTCTCTTGTATGCAGATGCAAAATGTTAGACAAATTATTGGCAGTTCTATCTCTCAGTTATACACCGAGGCTAGCCATTTCTTCAATGTATGGCTGTTCCCTCCTGTCAAGTCATTCGTGTTTGTCTGATATGGAGGAGTATCTATTCTCTTGATACTCATAGTTTTCAGCCGGGATTTGAGTTCATCACTCTTGGTAGATGGGGCAGGGTTCGAACCCACTGCCCTCTGGTTGGAAGTTAACTGTCTAAACTAGTAAACCTCAGCTCCATTTTCTGCGTGTGATTTGAACAACTCAGTTAACGTGTTGCTAAGTCAGATAAGTTTTGTGAATAGTTAAAAGGAAAATATTTATCTGCGAACTAGGTCGAAATTCCTGCATATATCGGGTGAGGGGGGATTGTAAAAAGAACTAATGCGAGTTCATTGTTCTGTATTAGTATGTTATGTGAGGGATAGAGAAGGAGGGAGGAGAGAGAGGTGTTATCTGAGAAAATAAACATTCAACTTAGAAGAACCGATCTCAGGTTTAGACTCCGCTTCACTTAATTCTACTTCAGCGTTGGAGTAGTATGATGAGCTATCAAACAAAAAGCGTGACCCTGGCACATAAACACGTATTAAGCTGAATTACTAGAAATTCAGTGAAGTAAATTGTGATTGAGAATTTTTAGTGTATTTTGTTGAGATTCTCGTATATGATTAATTGGGGACGCATAATCTCTAGTGACTGGATAAACGATAGAATACTCGACATCTGGCTCAGCTGACACAAGTAGAAAACAATGTTGGACTGAAGAAAGTTAACTCCAATCGACGTATGAAAATAATGACATCAGGACACAACTTTGCGTTTATATAGCGTGTGTGCACCATTTTGGCCAGTGGGAAAAATAGCATATTAAAAATGAGAGAGTAACCAATAGGAAAACAGCATTCTTAGAAGCAGTAGAATTGAACGATACTCATGGGGTGGAAAAACGCGCGAAGAAGATAATTCAAATTTCCTATCAGATAAACTGATAAAATTTAAGCATGAAACATTGATTTTTTTTTGGAATGTTACATCGATTAAGGTGACTACGGGGTTGATTGGGTCACCGTTTGATGCGTTATTCTATATTGGCTAAAATAGAATTAGGATACTCAAAGGTTTTGAGGTCAACCAGAGTAATAGGCAGCCTGCATGTTTGATTTTTGATTTGAAGCGTTTAGGAAAATGTCGACTTCCAGATTGAGGAGGTTGGCATGACAACCAAAACCTGATAGCTTAAATTTACAACTTAAAATGGATTGATGTAATGAAGATATATCCACTTCTTATGTTCACCTTGAGAAAGTTGGTTAACTTTAGAATATACACTATTGGGATATGCACTTTGGCATAGTTTCATTTTAAAATCTTGTTTGTTTTTGTTTCAAAGTTACTTATAAAATGGAATACAGATGCCTGTATTATGTCCTTGGAACATCTTTTTAGGATAGCATATCATCTCAAAACTGTACAGTTATCCACTTTGATCATTATTCTCATAACCCTTGTTAATACTAACATGAATTTGGTACAGTAAATATGGAATACAGCATGTTATCCATGTTCTGGTTTGGGAAATGCAGACATATGCGTGAATCTGAAAACCTGACCAGTTGACTCCTTGATAGTATCAGCTTCCTGTCCACCGAGTCCCTCTATACTGACTGAAAACACCTTCTTCGCCTTATTGAGTTTTACATTAACGTTGTTTTACCGGTAGAAGAGATTGACATTTCACTGTGTAGTAGAATATTTGATTTAATGAACTGGTTCTTTATGTTCAAATGGTTATCTCTACTGTCGTCTTGTTTTCAGCATCTATGCTCATTGGTTTTGCGAGAGTAAGGGATAATGTGGTTGTGGGACATGATTCGTGTGGTGTATGATCGGTACCTTCGAACAGGAGCAGTAGTCAATGTAGCATATTGTCTACATGCATTTTGCAATATATGTGGACTTTTGGAAAGGTTTTTCGCTTGTTAAGATGACAATAAAGACAGTGAGGCTTTTAACCGTGAAAACTTAAGTGAAGGGAAAACTTGCAGAAATTAGTCTCTCATATTCTCACATTCTACTGCTGGTTGTCGATTAGAGACCACCGATGAAAAGTTTGAAGTTATGACTAGTTAGTTTAGGCATTCTACGTTCATGGATTTACCTACCAAGGTTTGTCAACCACTCGATATCACAGCCCTTATATCTTAATGTAAACACCTGGACATGGTTGTTAAGTTGCCTGCCTTGTTTTCAATTATTATTATTTTATTCTTTGTCCCTTGGGTTCCTAGTGAAACGTAGGTCTTCGGTAGCACGTCGCCATTGCACTCTGTTCTCTCCAGTCTTTTCAACCTGGCTACACAACTACCTACAAGCTTTCATTTCTTCCTCATACCATCTCCTCCACGTCACCCTCGGACACCTAACTTGTCGTTTCACATTTGGCCTGACCTGACGCGTGTTGTTCCCAAACGGTCTTCTCAGTGTATCCCCAATCCAACCCATCTCTACTTTCTTCTGCATATTTGTTGGGCGATGGGTTCTTGGTTGGTTCGTTGCGGGGCCAACCAGAGTTCCTTGTTACTTATTCTTATTATTCTGGCCATCTGATCTTCAGTATGGAGTGAGCGTAGGTGGCAGCTGTTGATGTGTGTCTGTAGTTTGTCGGAAATGCTTTTCGTAATGCACCAAGTTTCTGAACCATATAGAAGCACTGACTTGACGTTGATGATGAAAATCTGGATCTTGT